CGCGCTCGCCCGCCAGGGGGCGAGGCCCGCTCCAGGTGGGGGTGACGGAGGGGAGAGGGTGGGGGGCTGGAGCCCAGGCACCTGCTGGCCGCCTCCATCTCTGCACCCCCATCAGCGGCGCCCCGCGCTCTCGGGCAGGGCGGGGGGGGCGGAGCGGGCGGGGGGGGCAAGCGGGGGGATTCCCGGGCATTTGTTCTTCCAACCTCTCTCGGAACGGAGACAACTTCCTCCACCCTAGCGGGAGCCAGAGGAAAAAGATTATTTTTAAAAGTACCCGTCCACGCGAATCCTTTTCTTTGTTGCTACATCACCCAAATAAAGACGAGATGTTTCCTCTTTCTCTTTTTACTTTTCTGTCCAACTTGTTTTTTAATTAAGAACGATTTCTTCCTATGGCAGTGTCTGAATCCAAGCCGCCAGATGGAAAAGACAAATATTTTCTATAATCTGCTTGGCAAGGCCGTTTAATGCAAGAACGTCGTCTAAAAACGACATTCAAAATGAAAACTAATGTGCGGTGGCAAAGTCTGACTACAGAAAGTTTGTAAATAGGACGCGTCTCTGCACCGAGGGATTATAATTTTACGGTTTCTTTTTCCGTGGTGTTCCATAGCTTTCAAAATTACTGCCTCCAGCTTACATATTAACCATTAAAACAGAAAAAAAAATTAAGCACCTTCGAAAGGAGTGTTGATGTGGGCCTCAAAGCGGGGGGAGGGGGAGGGGGAAGCCAACTCAGCATTTTCAACTACAGTTGAAACTTGGAGACTCGTTTTCTTTGTTGATGGCAATGAGGATATTGTTTAGTAAAGTGCAGCGCTCACTGAAGCTTTCCATTTGAAAGCTGGGCATCCTATCTTTCAAAAGCAGTTTTGGGAGCCAGGCACCATTGCTCAGGACCCTTCACCTGCGTCCTACCTTTAATATGAGTCACGATTTCCGTCTAATTTTCTGGGTTCTAACGTGCATGTTATCAAATGCTTTGCGTATCTTTTAGCTCTCATGCAATTACAACCAAAGCCACCCTAAAGAATGTGTTTTTCCCTGGGAACCTCCCTCTCCCCATCCGGTTGTTTTGTTTTTATCTTTATCCTTTTTCTAGTTTCTCTGTGATCTTTTGACTTTAATGCAAAGTAAAAAAAAAAAAATCCTTTTTTTTTTTTTTGGTGCAAGTTTACATATCTAAACAGTAAAATAGCACCAAAGGAAATATCCTATCCCAATTTAATCCAGTCTGAGGGTCCGAAATGGTAGCTCTCATCACACCCCTTTTGGAGAGATTCTTAGCTGCTTAACTTGTTTCTTAGGTTGGTATGCTTGCTTTTCTAATGTTAACATGCCGTGCTCTGCTGAGGTGTTTCCAGAATTTTTTTTAAGATTTATTTATGTATGCATACAGAACTGGGGTGCAGGCCAAAGGAAGTAAGAGGCTTCACCAGAGACAGAGTGGGGAGCAGAGTAGCAGAATAGGCAGACTGAGGAAGTACTCTGCTGAGGGGAACAGCAGTCGGGCCAGTGGTCTGCCTTGCCATGTGGATCACTTAAGAGGCTGGGGATCAAACTCACACTGAAGCGGCTAGCTTACAGTGCTGCACCACCAGGGAGGGCCATTTTGCAGATTTTTTTTTTTAAGATTTATTTATTTATCCATACAGAACTGGGGACAGGCCAGAGGTGCAGTCACGGTGAGAGGATTCACCAGAGACAGAGAGGGGAGCAGAACAGGCTTATTGTCGAAGTACACTGCTGAGGGGCGCAGCGGGCAGGTCAGGAGAGTTCTGCAGGCCATGTGGGTCACCTCCGGGTCTGGGATTGAACTCATGCTGAAGTGACTTTAGCTTCTTAGTGCAGTACTTTAACTGGCTGTACCACCAGAGAAGGGCCCCCTTTTGCAGATTTGTAACCATTCTCAACCAAGCAGCATGGGAATCTTAAAAGCTGTGACCTCCTCCCCCCCTACCAAAGTTTGACATCAGGACATTAACAGGTACTAGTTTGGGTTTAGCATTTGTAAGCATTTGTCAAACTGATGCAATGATCCACTTGAGATGTGTGCAGTTTACTGGATATAATTTCCCTCAAATCTGAAAAATGAATCAAAAATATTGAACTCCAACTAATGATGCTCATGCTAAAAGTTTGCAGGTGCAGGGCCCTGATATCTGTGGTGTCCTTAGAGCTGGATGAAGAAATACAGATGGACTAATGCATCCGTGGATGGACAAATTGGGTGGGAAAGCAGTTATATGATGAAGTAAGCAGGGCTAAAGGCTGGACCTTAGGAGTGAGTATAGGCATGTTCATTATGTAGTCCCTTCGACTTTTCTGTTTGAAATTTTCCACAATTATATGGGGGGGGAACCTCAGCTTAATTCACCCATGACCTTCCCCCTCCGAAACCACCCCCAGGATTCAGAAGGCAGGCTATTTCCAGAATGATTTGAAGCAGAAGAAAAGAACTTCATTTCAGTGTACCCTGAATGCCATCACTGTCTAAACGGGGAATAACTTGTGACATCAACTGAACATTATTTTTCATTATCTCCCTGCCCTGAGCCCAAAGCTGACACACTGTCTCAGGCAGAAGGCCCATCCTTTTTAAGGCCTATTCAAAGTGGTGATCAGGCCGGGAAATTTCAAGGGCAAAGGATTTAGGAGTCTTCTTGCCTCTTTAATCAGCCTGTGGTGAGCAGTTAGTAACTCTTAAATGCAGAAATCTTTTATGAAGTAGATACCAAGAAAAAAAAAAAGATGTTTAGGTTACAAAGCATTTGCAACTGACTGTAAAGAAGCCACATTAGAAAATAATAAGGATTTGTGGAACAAGACTTGTAGAGGAAAGGTTGACCACTACAGATACTTGTGTTATTCATATGCTAGAATATTATAAATATTATCTCTATAAAAATGTTACAGGGCAGGGAGAGGGCACCACTGAGTCCCCAAACCTGCCTGCTCTAGATAGGTTCTGCCATCCGCCGCATCAAGACAAAACATATAAGACTTTAATGAAAAGGGACTTTAATATGGTGAATATACAATATGGAAGTGTTGGGTCCCAGCAGGGATGAGCCTCCCCAACCACCCCCGGAGCTTAAGCACAAGATCATAATAGGAAGAAGACATCTTGCCACCTGTGTGAGTGGCTTAACCTTTGGGCAACTGACTAATATCCACCCTGATCGCAGTAGCACATTGAGGGAGATTTCCTCCTGCCCCCAGGCCAACATCCTGGGATTAAGGGTATAAAAGGGAGGCTGGAAAGGATAAGAGGAGAGAGAAAACGTTTTGCTGCAACCATCTATGTGTGCTGACTCTTCAACCTCGACGTCCCCTGCGCAGACGCAGACTCGTATCCCTGCCGTGCGGGCACAGCATGGAAGACAATGAATATAACTTCTAAATCAAACACCTGAAGTCACCTATCCCCTCGTGGTCAAAAGTCCACCCAAAAGGGATTGGACCAAAGCAAGGCCTGAAAGTCGCCACAAGCCTAACGCACCTTCTGGCCGGGACCCATAGAAGAGTCAGAAATGGCCGGAGAAGTCTGGGAGGAAAAGAGAGCAATCAAAATTAATCTAAACACTGCCATAGTCACCTCCCCACGTGTCTTTCACCCACTTCACTTTCAACCAGTCTAGGGCCAAGAAATAAGCACGGTTTCTTCACATCTCTCCCTTTGCTCCATGTGGCTTCCGCAGGTCTCCTTCTAGCTCTCCATCTTGCTTCCTTCCTCTCAGATTCCTTTTCCTTTTCTCCTTTTCTCTCCTCAGTTCCACCCTCCTTCTGGGAGGGGCAGGGCACCTGGAACTTCCCCTTTTCCTAGGGACCACCCAGTTACAAAAATGCAGTAGCATAGCTGGATCTCCAAGAAGCATTGTTGAACAAGTCCTGTGCAGTGTGACACCATTTATGATAAAAACAAACTCACATTGGTATATAAGCACAATTCTGTACATGTTCATTAAATGTATATCAAAATGCCAAGCAAGGAAAAGATTCAGAA